AGTTTAAGGTGGTACGGCAGAAGGCCATAAACTGTGGAGCACCTAGCAAGGATCGGATTCGTATCAGTTGGTTGATTGGATGGTTGATTTTGTTTAGCGGCATATCAACATCTACGGGTTATTCAATGGTGAAATTAAATATTTTGAACTCTGTTTCATTTCTTCAACTAAATATATTTTGATCGCAATTATATGACTTCAACTGCAGATAAAATGTATTGTTGGTAATTCTGCTATAAATAGGTATTGTTCGTAAGTTTTTTTTACTATAAACTAGTACCGTTAGTAATTTTCTATAAATAGGTATTGTTGGTAAATTTTTTTATACAGAAATATATTGCTGGTATTTTTTTTTTTACTTTGATAGCCTGTTAATAATACCCAGGACTAACTAGTCTGTTAATAATACATAGGATAACTTGTCTATTAATCATACCCAGGAATAACTAGTCTGTTAATCATACCCAGGAATAACTAGTCTGTTAATCATACCCAGGACTAACGAGTCTGTTAATAATACACAGGACTAACTAGTCTGTTAATAATACATAGGATAACTAGTCTATTAATCATACCCAGGACTAACTAGTCTGTTAATAATACCCAGGACTAACTAGTCTGTTAATAATACATAGGATAACTAGTCTATTAATCATACCCAGGAATAACTAGTCTGTTAATCATACCCAGGACTAACTAGTCTGTTAATCATTGTTCTATGTCAAACCTAGCAAATTGGTGACTTTTTGACGAAAAATACTTCATTTGTAGAAATTCCTTTCTGATCGAAACGTGTCACATTTTTTTTCTGATTGCCTGCTCAATCAGCTAAGTGACAAATGTGATACACGCTTGGGCGATCATGTTTTTTGATTCATGACTGACTAGGCAGAATTTTTTCCGGGGTAGGTTGCCGTTTCTTGCTGGGTCAGACGGGTTGCCGACAAAGGCTATAGGAACCAGACTGTCTTGCTATTCAAGCCATAGAGCATGTAAAGAGAGATTAATATAATCAGCACTACCTTAAATATAAGTCAAGGAAAAAAGATCCTCATCAGTACTGGAAAGAGCAATAACAGCTACTGGATTTGTGAAAGCTATTTCCCTGAACAAAAATGTTTTCAGAGAAATGTTTTATAAATTTCAACCGACGACGGCACTGGCTGATCGGTCAAGGAATGCCGAATGTCCGAGAAATTTTCATAGAAAATATTCATTCAGGCCGGTAAATGTTGTTTAATACTGTTGATTATAAACAGAGCATTTACTTAAATATTTGTATCTATAAAAAGAATGTATAAACATAAAAATGTCTTAAAAATAATTGTCGGAGTTTGTCTATTTCACAATGTGTGACGTCATTTGTTTATATTTGCATACGCCATGAGCAGATATGAATGTACGTGAGAGAATCATGGAAGATTGAAGTTTAAAGGCAGTAAAGTCGACCTTGCTAATCGAACGATTCTCTGTGGCTCTATCGGTTAAGAGCACGTCAGGCTAAATGACAGTGCCGTATATTATACTGGTTCGAATCCTGTCGGAGAACGAATATTGTCTATGAAAATTTCTCGGACATTCAGGCCGGTAAATGTTGTTTAATACTGTTTATTACAAACAGAGCATTTACTTAAATATTTGTATCTATAAAAAGAATGGATAAACATAAAAAAAATGTCTTATATATATATATATATATATATATAGTGATTTTCCAAGCGTAGCTTAGATGTGGCACAAGGCCGAAATTTGGGGGCACCCAGTGAGGATCGAACTCGCTGCTCAGTCGTAATTGTTCTAGCGAGCCAAGCCACTAAGATATAAAGGGTTTACTGGGTGTGGAAGAATTAGATACAGAAACATTACTAAGGAGCGATAACAAAAAAAGAGTAAATTGGAGGACAGTAGAGAGCGATTGACGTTGCATTTAAAGTTTTGGAAGATTAAAGTTGGCTGGAAAGCATGGAGCTGGAAGGGAGTTCCACAAGTGAGAAGTGCGAGAAAAGGAACTGAATTTACGGTTACATCTATCCAACACAACTGTAAATTGATGACACCTCGTCACCAGTCTAGTACACACACACACACACACACACACACACACACACATAAAGAACATATAGGAAGCAGATGTTAACATGTTTCATTTTATTAAAGCTTCGTCAGAGATCAAGAAAGAAAAAAAACAAATATTATTTTTTATGAAATTATTTTTTCTCTGAAGAAGCTTCAATAAAGTGAAACGTTAAATTAAGATCTGATTCTTACTTCTTCTTTATTCTATCATTTTGTCGGATTTCTATCCTTACTTGCTCTATATTTGATCTTATATATATATATATATATATATATATATATATATATGTAACGAACCCGACTGGAATTCGACCAAACCAAACATTCACCAACTAGAGGAAGATGGGTTCATGCTTTTGCCGAGGTTATTAGCGTGAAGTGAATGAAACAGAATGGACCAAATTCGAACTCAGTTCGGCGATACGATATTCTATTGGGTCTCAGACTCACCCCAGACCTCAATTGGAACTCGTACCTACGATCCCTCGGGCCTTGTACAGGGTGAACATCATTATATAATAAGCAATTTAGGAGCAACAGTTTGAATAAATCCCTCCATTAACCTTAATCGTGGAATTATAACAACTAAGATGTGGGTAATATATGTATTCAAGAATGCCTGTCTACTGCCTATTGCAGCATAATGCCAATCCCTATTGCAGACGCTTGCTCAGGCACATTTGTGTTTATTCAACACCAACAGAGCCCACCTGTGGTTTATAGCAGACCTTAGTTACAAGCTTTCGGCCAAGAGATCCGTCTACCCAATTTCAGTCACAAGGCTAGGGTCAACTCGTGGTATGGTCTTCAGGAAGTCTCCTCCCCAACAAATCGACTATGATTCGAACCCGGGTTTCACTACTCAGCCACGTGCCCGTGATGTGGATAATAATTTAGAGAAATCTATATATAATCGATATTATAAAAAAGTGTTCACTAACCGTCTCACATTGCGTATGCCTTTGCATACAAGTATATAATGTATATGCATATGTCTGTGTTGTGCGAGAATGATTTAAATGCGCTTGTGCTATTTAATGTAACCATATACACAGGATTTGACTGGGTTTGAAATAAGACGTTGGAATAACACACCCTTTTTATTCATTCTCTCTTCCACCCCCAGCGTCCACCGATGTATGTTTATTAATATTTGCACGAAAGACTCTCCCATAGGGAAAACTACAAGTTAACCTAAGGGATGAGGTAGTAATTTTGTGTCCAGGTAACCTTAGTTCTGCTTAATAGATAATATTAATCTATATTATTAAAGGAGAGCTAATTCTCTGTCCGTCACACACTGTCTGAATGTGACTTTGCATGCGCGTATATAATGTATATGCATATGTTTATGTTGTGCATGATTTACGGCCACATCACGTTGAAATACTGATTCCGAACGGTCAATGATGTTAAGCAACGTTTAGCCTGGTCAGTACTTAGATGAGTGATCACATGAGAATACCAGGTGCTTTAAGCGTGGATGTGCGGGTGGTTTAATGGATAACGGCTCGGAATTGGTGAGCCGAGTTCCAATTCCAGTTGGGTTCTTTATATTTGCTTATGTGCAAATACTGTTTGTAAAGGTATGAATCCACCTCTTATCTCACCAGCTTTACAACCTAAAAATATTTTCTGGCTTTAAATAACCTGAAAAGGGTTGATAAGCTATAAAAACACAAATCAACCAATCACTGTGTTGTGCATGAGTGGCTGATATGTATTTGTACGATTTCACGTTTAGCACTTTATATCATTTATAAATATTACTTCCCCTTTTATTTTATATGGAATCCGCTCAAAATATGGTCTTTTATATATTAGTTCTATATATTTATAGTAATTGCAGTTCTATATATTTATATTAATTGCAATATCCTGGCTCTCAATCTCAGTCGTCATTGTTTTAGGTGTTGCCATAGAAGGATATGACAACACAACCAAGAAATTCAAATTCACCTTGCATTAAGAGGACTAACATTTCGGCTAAACAGTCGAACTCTCTACCTTCGGGCAGAGAGGAACCTGGACGAGGCTCCGCCGAAGGGCAGAGTCTCCTTCCGGGAGGTTGACTGACCCTGAACCGGTTTATGCGGGTTCGAAAGGGAATATTTTTGGCCGAGCCTACGGGCTCGGAGAACCCACGTTAAACCCGGCCTCGTGCCACATGCAACCTTCGTGGGGGGAGGGGGGGGGGGCTAAATATTCTAACATTTTGCTTGACGAAAATAGTCACTTACAGAGTGTTAAAAGTCAATAATTTTTAAAAAATTTATTGTATTTACTGTTCAGTACAAAAATGTTACAAATGGTGCAGTCCATTTTAATTGTTGTTGTTGGTAGTTCGTAAGGTCTCAAAATGTATTTAATGAATTCTCTTTCGAAACAATAATAAATGATTATTAACATTTAGAACTCTACATCATTTATAAATATTACTTCCCTTTTTACTGTATATGGAATCCCCTCAAAATGTACAGGTTTTTTTTTATATTAGTTCTATTTATTTGTAATTGCAGTAGCCTGGCACTCAATATCAGTCAAGATTGTTTTAGGTGTTGCCATAGAAGGATATGACTACACAACCAAGAAATTCAAATTGCATTGGCAGCACTAACATTGTGATTCGCGAAAATAGTCACCTAGAGTGTGCTGAAGGTTAACGTAAACACAAGCACATATTTTGAGTTTGAAATATAACATTGGAAAAACAGACACTTTTCATTTCTTCTCTCTACCACTCCTACTCTGGGTTGAGTAATAACATTTTGAATATGGAAAAACAAAAGAATTAAACTTTAAAAATCAGGTATTTTAAAAACTTTTCTGAACATTTTTAAGATTATTTAAATTTTATCGAAATATTTTTTGTATGTCATTAAATTAAAATATGCATGCTCATACAGAAAGGTTTACGGAGTCTGATGTATCGGAACTGTTGTAAAGGAGCTAAAGTACGCAGACTAATGCCGCTTGACACCGATGGGCATTGAGCTCTGTCGCGCATGTTTATTAAGTTATAAGATTCTCGCTCACTTCCGTTGTTTATAGGGGTGCCTGGAAGGAACGTGTGTAGAGTGTGGTCGTCTCATCACACCACAGAGGTTCCATCGGTGACTATAACTTATGCAGTGATGTTGGGCTAAGAACATTCCCGAGGTTCGAAAATCACCGTATTTCCCAGATCGCGCCACTTTTGCCCTTTCAAAAATCAATTCCGTTGTTTATGGTAGTGCTTGGAAGGAACGTGTGTAGAGTGTGGACGTCTCATCACACCACAGAGCTTCCATCAGTGATCATTGCTTGTGCAGCAATTTTGAGCCACTTTTCGTCCTTTCATAAACCAAATTCCGTTGTTTATTACTCAGGTCCGAAAATCACCGTGTTCCCCCAGATCTCGTCACTTGCGAATTTTTCGTCCTTTCAAAAATCAATCCCCACATGAAAGGACAAGATTTTTAAGACGTCGAGGAAATCTAAGAGAACACGACGAGGCAGTTTCTCTTGAGTTCCAGGAATGCTTCTAGCAATGGAAACGTCGCTGTGTGATTTCAGAAAGGGGACGACTTCGAAGGAGATTAAAAGGCGAAATGATGTGTTGCAGTTTTATTTTTCTAGCATCAGTCCCGATACTTTTTGATCAGCCCTCATATAGACACACGTAATGAATAAAACTGACATGGGCATTTGTGTCACAACGTCTCTTTTCTCTTTTTACTGTTTGGCAAAAACTATTGGCAAATAGGAAAAGTATTAACTGAATGCGCGACACTCTGAAGCCATTTTCCGGACATCTGTATTTCAGAATGTAATTTCTAATAAATAATTTTTAAAAACTAATTTTATTTAATGCCGAATAATATAAAAAATTATTTCAATAAAACAACGAATACAAAAAATTCCCATCCAGATAATCTGTAGTTTTTAGGAAAAAGTTTTTATTAGTAGTGAGACCTATCCTCACCAGGTGCCATTATGGTGATCCTTTGTAAAAATAGTATCAAATTTAGTAAGTATCTTGTGACCAGCATATCTGAACATTAACGATTTGACCAACTTTATCGGATGCAATGTACTTAGATAAAAGTCGAAGACGTAAATAGAAGCCCTACTTAACTCTGAATACAAATTTCTTTTTGAGAATAAGCAGGCGTTCAATATAGACTCAAATGTCAGGACTACTTTTGGCAGACGATAGTAAACAATAGGTTTTCCAATATCTTTGCTAAAGAGAAACAGTCTTCCCCCGTTTCACAGCCATTTATGAAGACGCTTAAGCCACGTCGAAAAAGAGCGACTGATATAGAATAGCTTGCCAGAACCGAATCGTCTCACCTTTCGTGGAAATTCTGAAATGCTGTAGCATCGGTCAAAAGATGTAGGTTTGGTAAAATGCGACGCCATGTTGTTTTCTGGTCGTTTCTTTTTTTCTCTTCTTTATTGTTTTGCCGTTTGTTTTGTTCTTTACTCTGTGTCTAACTATTTTCTTCTTTTTTCATTCCATCTTTTTTTAGTTTTTTTTTCTTTTCGTTTTCTTTTTTCGTTGCATTGTTTTCTTTCTTTCTTTCTTTCTTTCTTTCTTTCTTTCTTTCTTTCTTTCTTTCTTTCGTTCATGCTTTCTTTCTTTCTTATCGTTTCCTTACTTTTCATTATTTTTCTTTTCATTTTCTGTCTTTCTTTTCACTTTCTTGATTTCCTGCATTTCGTTTATCTTTCTGTTTTTTGTTTTTTTTTTTCTTTCTTTCTTTTTTGCATTGCATATCCTTTCTGTCTTCCTTTTCTTTCCGCCCCCTTTTCTTTGTTTCTTTCTTTTCGTTTCTTTTCTCTTTTGATTGTATTCCTTTTTCTTTCTTCCTTTCTGTCTATAATTTCTTTTTCACAATGTAACTTTCATTCATTTATTTTTTCTTTCGCTGCAGTCTTTCTTTTCCATCCTTTTTACTTTGATGCAGAATTGATATTTTTCTTTTTTCTTTTCTTTATTTCTTTCTTTTTTCATTTTCTTTCTTTTCATTTTCATTCTGTCTTTTTTTTCACTTTCTTTATTTATTGCACTTCGTTATCTTTCTGTTGTTCTTTTTAGTATTTCTTTCTTTCTTTCTTTCTTTCTTTCTTTCTTTCTTTCTTTCTTTCTTACATTACGTATCCTTTCTATCTTCCTTTTCTTTCTGTCTTCCTTTTTTTCTGTCCTCCTTTTCTTTGTTTCTTTCTTTTCGTTTCTTTCTTTTCTCTTTTGATTGTATTGCGTTTTCTGTCTTCCTTTCTGTCTACAGTTTCTTTTTCACAATATAACTTTCATTCATTTATCCTTTCTTTCGCTGCACTCTTTCTTTTCCCTCCCTTTTATTTTGATGCAGAATTGATATATTCTTTCTTTCTTTCTTTCTTTTCATTTCTTTCTTTCTTTTCTTTTCATTCTTTCTTTTCTTCTTCTGCGAAATGTTCTTCCTATTTACACGTCTTTCTGCGCTTTACAATGTTTTCTCCCCCTTTCCCCCGTTCACTGCTTCTCTCTTTATTTTTCTGTTATTTACTCCCTCGACCATAAATTTCATTCTTTCTTTTCTCTATTTCCTTCGATTTTTTATTCAGAGATTCTTTCAAGAAAGCTCCGTCCACAAAAAACGATAAGTAACCATTTATTCAACATGAAATTCCCGGTTTAAATAAAATAAACTGAAAAAAAAGCTGAAAAGAAATTCTTCATTCATTTTCGAAATTTTCCATTTTGGCAACAAGTCACATCTTCGTTTCTTCGGCCTAAAATATTTTTCTGTATATACGGCTTCACAACAGAAGGTTGTAGGGATATGATAAAAATATTTCAAAGAATTACTTTTACACGTGGTCGAATGAAAGTAGAGTACGTCATATGGGCATACTATTCATGTGTACATTAGGATTATGTGGATTTAGACAAAATAATATTATCGGTGATATTAACAAAGTATTTTAATCTCTTTTGATCTTTATAGAACCCATGTATTATTTTGAAGATTGAATATGGCGTCTTTTAACAATTCTAGTTATTCTGAATGTTTTCGAAGAGCGGATGTGTGTGTTCTCTTCTATATTCCGTTTTAAAGCATTATAATCGACAGCTAGGAGTAGAAAAGTTCGCCTATCATCCGATTCACACTGATACTCAGTTTTTTTGAACAGGAGTAGAGGTTTATTCCAGGTTATATCCATTAAATTAAAGTTGGTCCAGGCTTTAGCTATGCGAATTTTCACATCCTTTTTGGTACAATTTATCAAGCATCCTACGTATGTAAAAGTTTCAAAATATTTTATTGCTTAACCTGAGACAATTTGTATTGATCGTTGCTGATTAAAGCCTATGAATTCAGTTTTAGAGGCATTGACAGAGTTCAACATCATTGGCAGCATTTTATAATGTAGGAGAACTTTGGAATTGCTAATGACCTTTGCAGTAATAGCTAAGTTAACTGCATAGTCAATATCTGTCATCTATTTTTTGCAGGATATTGACTTTAGAGTCATGGTGATAAAGTAAAACCTAGATGCTGATGTTTGTTAAGGAAAGTTCACAATATTTTGTCAAGGGTGATAACAAATAGAAAGGTGCAAAGATATCACCCTGGAGGATTGATGTCAAAGAAGTTAGTGTCACCATCTGGGGATTTACTACCCCTCTTTGTCCCCATTTTGTCATCCATTAACCTAAAGTTATTAAATGTGTTACTCATTGTTTCTTTCTGTGTTTTCTTCGGCATGACTTGTGGGTAGATACGTTGTTTCTTTGTTAATCTTTCTTGACAGACATACCCAAAGGGACGACTTTGAAGGAACAATTTGAAACTTAGCATAATGTTTTTTAGCAACTTAACTTCGTGAATTTTGAAGTAGCTCACATGTTCCAGGTTATCTCTGCAGGAGCAAGGTTTTCAAGATTATCACGCCAATCATCACAATCCAGCATCAAGGTCAGAGGTTCATTAGGGTGGCAGTCTGTGTCATAACATAAATTTCCAGTAGAATTTATCCCGCTTCCAAGGTATGTGAAAGATTTGGCAGTTTTGATTGATTTATTTAAGACAGTTTGTATCGAGTCTTGTTGAGTGAATTCAGTTTTAGAGGCATTAACATAGAGTCCAACATCATTGGCAGCATTTTATAGATGATGTAAGAGAACTGGGGCGTTGGTAATGACATTTGCGGTAATAGTTAAGTTATCTGCATAGTCAATATCTATCAACTCTTTTTGCAGGATATCGACTTGAGTGTCTTGGTGATAAAGTGATATAATGGAATTTGCATACACCTGTTCCCCCTCACTGGAATATGATTGTCTGGTGTCCGTCATAAATACCGACGGACGTGTAGGAGAGTCAAAGAGCCTTAGTCTGAGAGCTAAGTCTATAACGACGCCCATTGGACAACGCCATTGCTCTACACTTCTTACCTGCGACTACGACGCATACCAGTCGATTACTGCTACCGTATTCTACTTGGTTATAGTAGCCAAAACCACTTAGCTACTTCGTTCAAATATATCCCTTTCCAGGACATATCAAAAAGTAAAACCAAGATGATGAAGTTTGGCGAGGGAAATTCTTAATGCTTACTTCAAGGTGATAACAAAGAGAAAGTTTCAAGAGTGTCACCCCTGAGTACTCCTGCTTTGACGTTGAAGATTTGGAATTTTTTGTATAGCATAATTATGGAGGTTATTGTCTCAATATAAATTGCTTGTAACACGTTTATTTATCGTCTCTCAGTTTCATCTCTGTCTTTGGGCAGAGTGCGCTCAGGGGTGGCCCCATCAAAGGACAGAGTCGCAAATGAGGAAAATTATACTGATAGGTGCCCAGCACTGGGGAATAGCTGCCCGAGGCTGCACCCGCTCATTGCACTAGAGAGAGGGATTGTTGCTCGCACCTAGGCCAGAGCAACCGGCGGTTGAGGGGGCCCGGGGAATTTTTGTTTCTAGCCCGGGTGTAAGCGCTCGGGATCCCCACATTAAAACGACCTTGTGTCATAACGCGACTTTATAGGGGGTCGAGTTAATACCAAATTACTGCAAAGTAGAGCTGGGGCTTTTTAATCTCAGAATTCGTGATAGGACTTAGCTCCAATTTCGTATTTAATCATATAGACTCCATAATATAGGCCTTATTTAATTAGCTATTATGTTTCTGTAAGTTTTCAAATGTTGAATGTATAACTAATTTTCATTTCTATGTTCCTATCTTTACACTATATTATAACCGATAGCGCGGCTTTTAAGCTAGTTTATAATAAAACGTGCACTGCAATTTCGGATACAAAAGGAAAATAAGAGTTACTTCACTTGAACCATAAAAGCAACGATAATAGCTACTATAATATATTAATATATATTTTTAATCTCGCATAATCTGGCAATCCTGAATCTGGCCACAACGTTCTAAATTTTTTAGGGCTTTTAAATGAGCTATGAATCATTGAAATTGGACCAATATGAACGTAAGTGGTGCTTGGAAAAAGAGACGCACAAACACACACATATACGCTGTAGTTTATATATAAGATATGTGAGTTATTTTGGGGGGGATCTTTTTAAAAAAAGTGATCAGCGGGAAATGTGTTGAAGCAATTTCTAAACTTAGGTCTCTGGTTGGCAACCGGAGGGAAACGTGTATGCAACTGAAATCAAAGAAAATAATAATAAAAATAATAACTTAATTGAAATTCAAAAGGTATGGTATCTGAAACTCAGATAAAGCCAATTGATATTGACGCACTATGAACCAGACCCCCACCCCTTCAAAATGAAAAAAAAAGGTTATTTTTTCTCAACTATTTGGTAACCAAGTTTGACTGATATGCAAAAAGATTGCATGCTTCTCATATCCTCATGTTAAGTTTTATCAGTGTCACAGATTATGAATCTAGACGATTTGCAATGGAACCCTTTATGTTTTATAATGATTTCCTTTCTTTTTTTATATTTGGAAGATTCTGCGAGTTATCTGGATTTTACACCTGTGGCATGATTCTAGTTTTATTTTTTCATCTCCATTTACTCTGTTTACACATTTCATCTATGTATACATTTCATTTATGCATACACTTACACATTTTAATGAAGGTTTAAACTACTATACACAACCATGCGACATTCAGTTAGGCAAAACGAAACAGAATATGTCAGTTACGTATCCAACCAACTGTAGCAATATTCATGGTCTACTGACTTGTAGTCTCTTGAGCTTTCGGGTTGAAACTTGGAAACACCTCGTAGAACAAACAAGCAAACACATGTAATAATAATAATAATAATAATAATAATAATAATAATAACAACAACAACCGCCCAGACATTGTTATTAGTGACCGCAAAAAAAAAAAAAGCCTCCTTATTGATATGGCGGTTCCTGCACACCGCACTGTATGTTTGAAGATATTCAAATAGCTATCATAATACAAGGAATTTAAAATCGAAATCTCAAAAATGTGGCACATGGGAATATTAACAATCCATGTTGTAGATGGAGCCCTCGGATTGGTTCCAGTAGACTCATTGAAGGGATTCCTGGAGGCCTATACCTTAAAGAAATACAAAAACTTGTCTCACGAGTATAGCCCACAGCTTACGAAGGGCTTTATCTATGTAAAATATGTGTGTGTGTGTGTGTGCGTGTTTTATTGGTCAGTGGAATATGTCATGATGCCATTTCTGACCTTAGGTCTCTGGACGGGACCCGGAAAGAAATGTGTACACACAGGAAATTAAAAGAAATAATAATAATAATAATAGCTTGACGCTACATCAGGCATGACACTAACTTTAATTGATTGGAAGTATTGACATGTGTATGTTTTATCTGTCCCTTATGGCATAAAAATATTACAGTTTAATATATTAGGTTTCGGGTCTTGGAATACAGCAAAATGTCCGCCAAAAGCTAAGCAGAGTATTAAGAAACAGGAAACTTTCGTTAAAAACATAGAAAATAGTACTGAACTATTACAGGAGATCAGTCCTCCTATATTGCAGTGAATGGTGGACAGTCTCCTCACAGATGAAGAAGAGACTTGAAGCCAAATAAATATGGCTCTACAGAAGGATACTGAGAATACCATGGATCGAACCATGTGAGCAACGACGAAGTTTTAGGAAAAATTGAAAATTGAAAGAAAAAAGTCCTAAAACCTAATTTTTTAAATCATTTCAATCCCATGTAAGGCAATAAATCCACTAAGACGCAAGTCGTCACAGAGTGTGAATATGAGAAAAAGTAGACATTATTAAGGATAGAAAACAATAAAAGAACAGGGATTAAGAAGACAGAAGATAACGAAATTTTTAATTGAGTTCACCCCATGCAAGGCAGTAAAGCCACTAAGACACAAGAGGTTACTAGGCGTGGAAGAATTCAAAACACGGTCAAAAGAGCGAGAATAAGAGAAGAGTAATCAGGAGGACAGTAGATAGCAATTGACATTGCATTTAAATTGAATTTAAAAATTGAAAGCAAAAATCCTGAAGAGAATGCCACAAACGAGAAATGCGATAAGAGAAATTGATAGCATAGAATTTACGGTTAAATCTAACCATTAATCTAATATTCGCTTAAATGAATAACGTCTGGATACCAAAGAGGAAAGCACATCCGAATAATTAC